ATCTTTAACTAATCATTGCATCACGAAGTATGCAATCAAGCTATTTTTCCTTATACTTTAGATTTGATTTGTGAGTTTCACTATTATAATTAATGTAGCAAATAACAACTATAAAGAAAATTATATATATATATATATATATATATATATTATTTATTTATTTATTGCAGTCAGGTGATGGGTGATATATGTAGGTAGGTAGGGGAACTCTGCCATTGCTATCAGCTAATGTAAATTTTATATATATAGGTCGTCGCTATCATGTCACTTCTGGTATATATATCAGATAGTTCCTGTGTCCAATGATATTATAATTGGTAAAGCTACATTATTTGTCACTCTTGAATTCAAACTTAATTGCAAGGGGGTTTGCTTAATTTAATTATCTGTTGTAAGTGAAACATTATTGATACTAGATTGTAATGTTTACTAAATGTGGATTATGTTTGATAAATTAATCTGAAGCATGAGATATTAAATTTTAAATATTAACGACTATTTAGCGACCAAAAATATAAAATTACTTCATCAATTTATTGAAAATGAGGAGAAAATATTTGAAAGAAAATCTGTGACATTATACACTACACTAAAATTAGTCTTTTGTAATAAATAATTTATTCTTTAGCGACTATATAAATAATAATTTTTTTATCAGCATTTAAATAATGACTGGTGTATCCAGGGTTGTTAATACTATTATTGACATTTATATAAAATGCTGGTAAAGACCTACTAAAATTGTTAGAAAAGTTTATTTTTTTAGTGGCAATTCTAGTAGTCATTTTAAAGAATATTAAAAAAAAAAATTCAATTGTCTCTTTTCTATCCATTCAGTGACTTTTATTTATTATTACTATTGAACTTGGTTGGTAATAGTGGGTGATTTGATATCAATTTAGAATAGTAAATTAGGAGGCTAACTCAACGCTATAAAATCAACTTGTAAGATGATAATTATTATTTACTTATATATTCTTTAATTATCTTATCTCTAATCAATGTGAGATTTAAGTTTTTTTATAATAAATAATTATCATTAATAATAAATTTTAGTGTAATATAAATATATTTTTAGTGATTATTATATATTAATCAATAATATTTTTATTATATAATTAAATAGTAGTAATTAATTAGTTATTAAATAATTATTGTTAATAATAAATTTTTGTTGTAAGACGTGATAGTAAAACATGCATATATACAAATTAAGAGTTTTATTTTATTATATATATATATATATAACTTTTAATTTATGTCAAAATAATTTTTATATTATTTATCAATTAGAAATTATTATTTTTGTATATAAATATTGAGATAGTTATTCTAAATGATGTGCAATTTATAATTGAAAGCCAGTTTAAAGATGATTTACAGTTCATATATAAAAAAGCTAATAACTGTTTTTCATAGTAACAAAATCTAAAAAGCTATTATTGGACATCACGAAATCTAAAAACTTAAAACGTTACATCCGCCGGTAGAGATCAGAGACATAAAATTGAAAGCAGTTGGCACAGCAATTAACATTTGACGTTCAGTCCAACTCCCGCCGCACAAAATGCTAAATGTCATCACCACCTTTCGTAAATAAATGAGAGAAAATTTATTTTTTATTATATAATTCTCTTAATCTTTTAGACAGATTTTAGTATATTAATTACGATATGTAACTAATGTCTTAATTAAATCTCATAAAATTTATTAATAAATTCTTTATTTTTCAAATTAATTGTATGGATTCTCTCTCTTATTTACTTCTTTTATATTTTCCCATTCTATAAAGTTATAGATATAATAAAAAATATATTTAGTGTTTTATTAATATTATAATATGATAATTAAAATTGGATTACTTTTTTATTATTAAAACGTCAAACAAAAAATGTTTTCTAGGGTTAAGAATGATTGTCGGGAATCGAATAAAGGCTAGAAGAAATATTGTGAATAACAAATGACACTCGTCTTTTAATTCTAATATATATATGTACAGAATTTCAATTCTGGCTTCACTAGAGTGCCTGCAGATTATAATGCCTTAAACGGACAAGAAGACCTATTTTCTTGGGTGCCATGTTCTCCTAAGTCTCGACCATCAACATAAAATATGTTTCATAACCCCTTCAATATAAAACATTTGCTTTAAATACCTGTTTTGTCTTCATGCAAATGGATTAATGAATTGGTCTCATTTTCTTTGCAATTCACCCTCAATATATATAAAGATAGTAGTTTGTAGTACAACGGAGGGTCTACGGATTACGTACAATTTAATTTTCATGTATGCATGGTAAGTAAAATGTTTATCCTGTTAACCAGTTAGAATAATTATTAAAATAATAATTTAAAAAGGCTTTAGCAGTATATATTTAAACTAAATTCTACAGATTAAAGTTTTATTATAGTGACTTACTATAAATCAAACAGTGTAAAAACCAAATATAGATGCTTTCATTTTCTTTTTATTGGGGTGCATTACTTGTTTTAAAATGATTACATACTAATGAGGAAAAGTCCATATACATTAATTGACCATATTTAAGAGATTTTTGAAACAAACCTATTCATGATTAAATGTTTTTACTTTTATCAATATTTTATTATCCAACAACATAAAGCTGATAAAGTTCAGGGAAATAAACTATACATATGGTATATATTGTTAAACATATATATCCTCGTGCTGGTGTAGAAAGTTAAAAATAACTATACCTGTGTTATATAATTTCATAATTAGGCCATACTTTAATCACCACCTATGTTATGGTGATATATTACGATACAATAAGTACTGCATCATCATTATTTAAAGTTTAAGATGGATTACATCCATTGATGCATAAAAGTCCAACTATCCAACTATCCTTGCCTCATGTGCAAAAGATGACCATACACACGCAGAGAATTTTTAGGCTGTTTCAAAAACAAAAAAAACAAGAAGAAACAAATAGTAAACCAAATCATTGATACTTTCCTTACGTACTTAATATATATATATATATATATATATATATATATATATATATATACTATTCTTTTTTCATTTTTCTTCTTACCAAACAACTTAATAAACCATTCAATAATAAATAATTGATTCTTATCAAAGTTAAAATAATATTTTATTAAAAGAAATTACATCTAATGAACTAATGAACACATGATAGTCATTGATTATCATTTTTAAATCATTTTGTGAACCATTTCTATGAGAAAAAAAATTCGTTTTCTACTACAGTATCCATATCCATGCAACACACTTATAAAAATAAAAGTGATATGTATATATATATATTATTCATGAATTAATAACTGAGTTTCCAAAAATTTTATTTTAAATTTGACATGAGAGTCTTCATAATAACTAAGTGATCTGATAAAAAAAAAATCAATTTCTCTTATTAAAAGTTTATTGGCAAGCTCATGAATAAAATTATATCTAATATCCAAATATGTAGGTCATGGTGTTAATAATACTCGATTATGAATTTGAAAATATTCTAATTATTTCATGATTTTATTGTTCTTATAATGTTCCATTTTCACTTTTTAATAGGCAAGTATTAACTAGCTAGTGTCTTTATGATACCTCTATCAATGATTTAGAAAATAGCTAGGCTCAAATGAAAAATAAAGTTTATTAGTTTTGACATATTAAACGTTGCACGTATTTTCATTAAACAATTTCTTTTTTAATTTGTATCTATGCATTGCACATGATTTGAAATCACTATTATACATTTTATGAATTTGTGTAAATTACTCAAAAGTAAGTAATAAATGGCTTTCTGTATTTTTTATACAATATATACTTTTCTAAATGGAAGTTTTCTGTTTTCCTTTTTTACTTCTCATCGTATATTTATGGGTACACAATAAAAAAAATCTATATAACCATATTTATTTATTATTTTTTTTAACAAGTATCATGAGACTTTTTCGTAGGACTCTTATATATTTATAAACTCTTTGATTTATTCATTTATTATTTGCAATGCCATTAACTAGTAGCTCATTTGCAGTAATTATTTAGGTGGATCTCTATTGACAAATTCATCATGTCATTGACACCCTAACCCATAGTATTGAGAGTGTCTTTTGTTCTACCAATTTTTTGAACCTGATTAATAGCTTATTTGCTTATAGTGTCCTTGTGTTAAAAGACAAATTAATGCTAAAGAAATACCTTTAGTGTAGTTGTTAAATATTAATACAAACAAATATTTTTAATTTTTAATATAATAAATAGATTAAATTTAAATTATTTGACAACATCCTTCTATTGATAATCTTTATAAATAAAGAGAAAATTGAATATATTTTATGTGTCTAAAATGTTAAGTGCATTTACCTTTTTATTAAAAAAAAATTTATAATATTTTTAGTTTGATTAATAAAAGAATCTTATGGGAAGACATACAATTACCTTGTTAAATATTTAATTTGTTAGTAAACACTTATTTAAAGATTAATGCTATATTGTTCAGTTAATGGATTTTCCTATTAATCATTTAATACTCTAGAAAAAGTATCAATTAAAAAATGATTCATCAATATATGTAAAATATAAAAAATAATATTCAATATTTTCTTAGTAAATATATATATATATATATATATATATATATATATGGAGATTTTGTAATACTCAACTTTTAATTTTTAAAAAGGATATGAACAATTGTTAGCGAAACCGTGTTTAAATTTTTATATTCATATTTTTTTTCCTCAAAAAGTTAAAATATTCTTCAATTTTTTTATAACACTTTCTATAACTTTTTTCCCCCTGTCTCTCTTTGTTACATCATTCATCTCATCTATCATTTCCATTTCTTCTCTTCTCTCATGATTATATGCATAAAAAAGAATTATAAGAATTTATATTTTAAGTGCATGAGTTAATTCGAAAGGGAATGAGGATGGGAGACATCCCCACATTCCTGATATTATAATTAGATGCAAGGTCATAGTCATTCTTTTATATGTACCTCCATTTATTACCTTTGTCTTTTGCATCCATTCCTTCTCCATCCACTCAATGCTGTTTGCCTTCTCTCCCTCACATAAGCTTTTGCACTTAATTATCAGTTTGCACACACCCTATCTTTTTATCTCTCTCTGTCTCTCTCACTTTGCTCTCCCTTGCAGTTAGGGTTTCCTCTTTAAGGGTGCTCTTCCTGTGACAAATCTGCTATTTATATCTCTCATTGGCTAAAGCTCTTTTGTCTTGTGAGGGTAAAAGAGCAGCTTCTAAAGGGCCTCCCACAAGGGCAAAGAAAAAGGTACTTCCCTTTTAGTTCATCTGATCAAAGAAACCTACATCACAAACAGGTAAAATCATGTTCATATTGTAGCTTTCCCCTCTTTGCTTCTTCCCTCTATGCATGTATAGTTCTTTTCTCTGTTTAATGTTCTTTTAAGTAAAGTACCGGTTGCTAGCTAGACAAAATGGATCCTTTTGAGAAGTCACTGATTAGGGCTTTTCCCATTTTATCTATGCTTTTCTGATGCAGCCATGAATACAATCATGCCTCGTTGCTGATGCCAGATCCCTGGTTAATTCAACTTAATTAATTATAAGTTTTCACTTGATCATGCAGCTCAATTCCAGAAGAAGAAAGATATGTATAAAGTTTTCTAGTCTATGTTAGTGTGTGGAGGTTTCTGATGAATAATGAAGAAGATAGAACATACACAGAAACTAAAGGGAAAAAAATTAGAAAACACTATGAAGGGAGTTTCAAGATTAAAATTAAGATTTCTTCATTAATCTTTTCTCCCCATGAAAAGAAGAAAAAAAAGGAAAGAAGGAAAATATATTTTAAGAAAAGAAATAAGAAAGTTTGTGAAAGAAAAAGAAAGGATAAAGATAGTCATACTATAGTATAATATAATTTAAAAAAGTGACAGCTAATCCTTAAAATCAGTTAGCAAAGTCTCGTTGGGGAAGGGTCTGCTTAAGAGATTTTAGGAAGGATGATAAAGAGTTGAAGAGTTCATAGGATCAGACTAATTACTTAATGTTATCCCAATTTAAAATCTTTCAAAAATATTTTTTGTTAGTATATATTATATTTTTTTAAAAAAAATTATACATACATACATATAAAACATTATTGATACTAGAT